AAGAATGAGATTAGTGACCATACATGGAATTAAGAGACCAGAGCTCTCTCTTTCAGACATTCGAAGATAAAAATAGTCCGTAGTCTGCAACCAGGAAGAGGGCCGTCATCGGAACCCCAGCATACTGGCATGCTCATCTCAAACTTCAGACGCCGAAATAGTAAGAAATAAATTTCTCTTGCTTATAAGCCACTATGTTTATAATACTTTGTTATAGCAGCCCTATCTGATTAAGATATCCTATTTTGTTATCCTATATTATCTCCTTTCTGTTTTAAACCAGCCTTCTTCAACAATTTGTTTTGATGCTCATTCTATTTCTAAGCATATGCCTTTTATTTTAAACAACATACCTAAAAATGTGAAGAATTAGCAAAGGACATATTAATAGAAATTAGTATCATTAACATTAATATGTGATAATTGCAAGTTAAAGTATTTTAAAAGTTTAAATATAATAGGATTATAATAGTATTCTGCTATCAGCCAGTAAAGCCTCCAGAACTTTTGAAGACCAAATTTAATCTTGGAATTAGTTGAATCCTGAAATGTAGCACAGTGAAAGTTAACACATAGAAATTAGTTATGTTAGAGAAATTGTAATTAACAGACTGATACTGAGGATAGCACAAAAGAATAGGTATAAACTATATTGTTTTATCATCAAGTATACTTAAGTGTTTTAATTATACTCTTGGAAAAACTGAAGCAAGAGGGCAAGTGAAGAGATCAAAGCCTTCTTTATAGATCACTCTTTCGTAAAATTTAAATTTTGTTTAGGGTTGACCAACAAATTGATTTTCAATCAACTCATGAGCCAGATGTGTAAGTTTTAGAGTTAAATGGTTCTATTAGACTTTTAATTATTGAGCATTCACATTCAATTTTGATTAACTATTCTTGATAAATGAATGAAGAATACTCAATTAGCATGTTATTTAAATTTGAGTCTCTTCAAAGTTAAGTTGCTGACAAGAAAAATGTCTAAAGGATGCTGGGCTAAAACCCTGTAAGGTCTCTTTCAGCTCTAAAAGTTGTAGAATTGTGGTACATAATAGATAAGATGAACAAAATACATTTTCCCTCAAGTTCTGTATTTAGATTTATACATAGAATAGAATAATGATTACTACTTACAGGCTCTAAACCCATATTTTTATAATATATATAATTCTTACACACAGTTCATACTTATAGGGATGTCCTATACAAAATTTACCAGCTATATTTCCTTGCTTATTTTAAATATAAAGTTAAAGCAACATCTAATTTTGTGCTCATAAGAATAGTGAATTAAAAAGTCAGATTTTTTTCAATCTGCAAGGAAATCACATTATATTTCTATTTTAACTATATTATTTAGTTTCAAAAATACTACACTAAGACATAAAATATTTTAAAATTTTAAATAGCCTCAATTTAAGGTGGTTATTCATAAAAAATCTGTTATCCCATTCTTCTATTATAATGAAATTACAGCTAAGCCAAAGATTATGCAACTTAAATACATTTTTTACCCTCCTTCGAAGTTAAATGGTGATTTAATGATGCTGTACAGACGGAATGTGAGCAGAGAGATTTATGTCATTTTCAAATCTGGGTATGCTGCCTCCTAGTTCTAGTTAGCATTCTCATAAACTGAAACCTAAGTACAGTAATCTGTTTCTACCACCTAGATGAAGCAATGGCAAGGCAGAGGCACACCTCAAAAGCAGTCTGAGACCCCAAATGATTACATGGGCACATCTTCCTGACATCCTGAAGCACTCTAATTAGAGCATTTTGTTAAAGAAAAAATATTTGTTTTTTATAGGTACTGGATTGTTGGGTTTGTTATAGCCACAGAATCTTCACCATAACTAATGGCAGAGCCATTAAGTTTAAAATACAATGGAGGTTATATGCTTTAAAATGATACCAATTAAAGTAATAAAATTAAGGTAAGAAATTAAAGTAAGAAAATATGGAAAAATGAAAAGCCAAGGAAATTGTTTATCAATTCTAATAGGGATAAACAATGTATTGGATAAGAGAATTGAATGATTTAAGGAAAATGTTAGGCTTTACCCAATTATCAAGAGTAAGATTAGCTTACTAAATACCGTAATTCAATGACTTTTTAAAGCTTTTTGATATATATGATCACTTTTACCACAATGGAATAGGATACTATGCATTGAAAATTCATGGGTGTGTGTGTGTTTGTGTGTGTGTGTGTGTGTATGCACATATATATGTATCTTTTGATTTTACATCTGAGTATTTTCTACCTGACATTTCAGGAATCCAGTACAAATAGAAAAAAATAGAAAACATTATAAAGCCCCTGGTGAATATGAGATAGATTGTTGTTAGAGGTCCTCCCTCAAATAACTCAATTTTTAGAGTAGAATACTTATGATTCAGGCAGTAATTAAGGAGCAACAAATTCACTATTCTTCTCTCTCAAACTGTCTCTCAAGCACAACAGATGTTTGAGAATGTTGGTTTAAAAACATACTTCCTCACTAATAAATTTGTAAGAAATATACAAAGACTATACTGGCAATTAAATAGATTCTCAGTATGAATTTTATACAAAGCACTATCTGCTGTGGATTAAACACAATGTAGTTTAATTCTGATAACTGAGGTATTATAATCATCTTAGTTTAATAAAAAATTGAAATTTGAGCATAATTCTTATAAAGTCAGATGGGAGTATAATGTTTTCCTTGATTTTTAATATTTCCATTGCATAAATACATTATATACTACCTGCATATCTGATGATACATAAGTTACTCAAAAAGTTTTAGTAGAAAAAATTAGGATTTTTAAATTATCAATTTATCACTAAATAGAAATATAAATAAGTTTTGCCATTCATGGAGATTTTCCAAACATTTTGTGACAGATTCGCAGTATAAATCTATCACTTTGCTAAAAATCTAGCAAAAGAGAAAATGGTCTTTTGGCACTGGCATCAAGAGCATGCTGCTTATAATTTTTCAGTATATACTGTTAATTGAATTTATTAAATACCCTGATATCATTTTATATGATATCCTCTTACAAAATCAACGTTAGATTTTGAAGCCTCCTCTCTGGGAGGCTTTTCAAAAATCAACTTTAACCATTTCTTAATTACTATATATTGTGATATTACAAAATCTCTTTCACATTACTACATGATGCTTTATCAGTTATCAGCAGGAAATTAATGGAGCTTAAAATAAACATTAGCTTTAACCCTTCTTATGGAGCATTTTGTTTTCAGAATTTGCAATGCCTTTTAAGAATTATGTTCAAAAGCTACCATTGTTTGTGTATGTGTGTGTGCATGCATACATACGTCCCATGACAAAAATGTTTTCACCAGTACATGAACAATTTTTAGCATTCATTCATATGTACATAATTTTAAGACAAAAAGTGCTTAATAACTCTGTAAACTAAATAATTTGGTTTGTTGTTAAATATCCCCAAATATACCACAAGTGGTATTTTTTAAACTTATATTTCATTATTCCTATTATGTAGAGTTTTCTCTCTTCTACTTGCTTTTAAAAAGTAAAAAACATCAATTTATTCCAAATTTATGTATCTTTGCTAATACTTGTAAAGTCATATAGAAGCAAGATATAAAATGCAAGGGAAAGTGTAAGCAAAATATGCATCTGCTATTTTCATGCTTTGGATTATAATTCTCACAGATATTGCACTTACTTTGAAGCAGGCATTTTGCTTATGTTATCTCAATAACATTTTTATAACATTTTGAGGTAGATCTTATGTTCATTTTACTAATGAGAATACCAAGGTTTGGAGAGCTTAACCAATTTAAGCCTAAAGTTACAATTTAATAGCAGTAAGATGGACAAACTGGTTTCCATTTTCCAATTCCTGCTGCCTCCTAAACATGGGTCTCTTAACAATGGGACATGTTCTGAGAAATGCATCACTAGGCAATGTATTTGTTATGTGAACATTACAGTGTACCTACACAAACTTAGAAGGTATATGGTATTACATACCTAGCCTATATGGTAGAGCCTATTCCTGCTAGGCTACAAATTTGGAAACATGTTATTGTACTGAATACTGCAGGCAATTATAATGGAATGGTAGTTGTGTATTTAAATGTATCTACACATAGAAAAGGCACAATAAAAATACAGTATTGTAATCATATGGGGCCATCATCATATAAGCAGTCCATCTTGACTAAAATGTCGATTAGGCAGTACATCACTGTAGTTCTTTCACTCTTAGAAAATGAAGGAGAATAGAATTTATTTACATATACTACCTAACTCTTCTCATCAAGTTCCTTCTTATATTTTTTGGCCATAGGGGAAGATTCTAATATTCACATCTGAATATCAATTATCTTCAAGCAAAATGCAATGTCTTTAAAACCCAGAACTAGAAAAATCACAAAACTTGTTTCCCTGGCATATTATTTTGTAATATATATTTAAAACTTTTGGACTATGCCATAATATATCCCCTGACAATTCTTTTCATGATTTTTTCCCCTGAAATGTTTTCCATCATTGAAACACTCTTAGACCCATGATTTTTTTTTTTTTTTATCAGGCACAATGGTATTCCTCTTATTTAGTTGGCAAAAGTGTTATTCATAATGAAGTGCAATAAAAGTAATTTAAAGACATTTATAGCTAAAACTAGTCACTTTTTTGTGCCATTGAAGTGACAATTGAGACTTAAATCACTTTGGGGAGTTTTTGATATACAACTTATAATTTCTTAAAAGTCCTTAGTCAAAATAAGGTAAATTATCTACTAATTAAGCTAATTAAACATTAAAGATTAAAATCATGTTTAGACTATCTAATCCTTAGATTATTTTAAAAGATCAGTTACATAAAGTGAAAAGAACATGATAGTTTACAAAGGACAACCAAAGCCAGATTTAAATTATTATACTCCATACAGGTATCTTTTTTAAAATGTAAAAATTTAACCCTTCAAATAATACTCATTGGAACCTTTCAGATGATTTTTAATGCAACAGATTTATTTACCATTTCAAAAGATCACGATATAGGCAGATACTTTAAAAAGTCTCTGGGGGCAAATAAATCAGTATATATTAGATGTAAGGGGACTGCAGCCAGGGCAGGCATGAATTCTTAAGTTATAAATATCATCTTTATAAAAATGGGGTATTTTATAGGACATCCAAGTAACACCAACTTATAAAAACAAACTTAAATGTTGGCCACATAAGAGAGAATAACTGGATTTAGGGGACTGAAGAATGGACAGACTCAACCAACTAAAAGCTCCTTACTCATCCTTCAGAACCAAAACAGAGAAAAAAAAATACAACAGGTTCTCACAACACCTAGAAAAGTTCAGGGAGTAGGAAGTGTTTCTTGGCACCCAGTTCTTGCAGTTTTAAAATCCGTCCCTCCGTTGTTGGCTAGGCCTCTCTCCAGGGAAACTAGCCAGGGCAAGAGGCAGCGGACGAGTATATGTGGGAAGTCCCCAGGGTCCATGCACCCACTCGACCTCCGCCAAGCCAATGGCTAAGCGCCACCCGGAAGTGTCCGCTGGCCGGATGGGAGGGCCCCGCCGTCCTAGGTATCCGCGGGCAGGGCGCGGGCCAGGGCGTGCGCGAGACTGGGGGAGCTGGGAACGAAGGAGGAGGGGCCTGCGCGAGGCCCCGCCCCTCTCGGGCTGCGGCCTCGGCTACAGACAGGGCCCGGAGGGCTCCGAGTCCAGGGAGCGGAGGCCAGAGTCGGGTTCCCGTAGAGGCTGCTCCTCCTTGTCCTCATGCGGACGTGGTCCCCGCTGCTCGAGGTGCAGCTGCAGCAGGGCCCGGCGGTACATGGCCTCCAGCTTCTCAAGTCGGGCCCTCAGGGCCCTGGGGCTGCCCGGCTCGTCCTCACGGCCGCTGTCTCTAGCCCTCCGGTTCGTGCCGGCCTCTTCAGGGACCGCGAGCGCCTCCGCGGGCGTCCTGTCGCCGCCTTCACCCGGGAGCCGCAAAGCCTGACGGAAGAGGCTGCGGTTCTCGCGCTTCAGCCGCCGGTTCTCGAGCCGCAGCCGGGTGTTCTCCTCGCGCAGCCGCGCGTTCTGCCGGTCCCACTCGTCCCGCGCACGGATGGCCTCCAAATGGCTCGCCGCCAGGTCGGCAAACCGCTCCTCAAGCTGCTGTCGGGCGCCGTCCGCCCGGCCTCGCCAACCCACGCCGCCGCTGCTGCTGCCACCCCCACGAGCCCTGCCCGAGCGGCCTGGCCCTCGGCTGTCCCCAGCAGCATCCCCGCCGCCGCAACTCCCGCGCCGAGTGGCGCCACCACGCATGCGCCACATCGGTCCTGTCCCAACCGCGCCTCCAGCCCCGCGGGCCGAGGGACCGCGCGCCCAGGCGCGGGCGAGTTCGCGGCCCAGCAGGGCGGCTGGGGTGACGGCGGAGGAGGAGAGTAAGTGGCGGGCGGCGGCTGCTGGCTTAGAGCCAAAGGAGGCCGGGAATTTGCCCAGACTGAGGCGTGTCCTGTCTCCTGTGGTGGAGCTGCCCCCTGGGCCTGCTATCTCCTGGCTCTGCTGACACACAAGTCCCCTGGGAGCGCTCAGCCCTCTCGAGGGAGAAAGTGTATCCTTAGCTGGGTTCTGCCAGGGCGCTTCCGTGCAGGCCTGGGCACTGCAAATACCAGTCTTCTCCCGCTCCCGAACGCAACCACCAGTGGTTACTTTGCTGTTTACATGGCAATCACAAAACTAATGATAATAGAATGAATGATCAGTTCTGGGGCAAAGATCTGGGGCAAGTTGAAAAGCTCTAAGTACTTCATTTAAAACCTAGCAGTTTAGCCCCCCCATGTTTAATAAAACATTCAACAGAATGGGGTTGAGCAGCTGTCATGGGGCTCCCCAGTGGAAACACTTAGCTCTCCAAAGAATGCAGTCAATTCCCAGTTTGTGGACAGCCAGGAACTCACTTTGTAAATTGTTCGGAACTCTGTAGACTCGGTCACACTTAGTCGATTTGTTCAGACCAGCCTCCAAAACCTGTGAAACAAGCTGTGCTCTGTTTATTGAAGAAACTGAATACTGAGTTCCAAAGTTTCTGGGGACAAGAATGTACATCTGGTTGAATGAATCATTCCTTGTTGTAGGGTGTCAACCTACATAGTAACTGGATTATTGCAAAGTAATTTAAGGATTAGGTACTGATGCCAGAATCTCTTGGGAACAAGATGCCCTAGCAAGAATCTGCATATTTATCAAGGTCCCAGAGAATTCTCAGGGTAACCAAAATTACCAAACCGCTGGAACAAGAACATATAAGTATGTGCAAAAACATATGGCTCACAGATTTGGGGCTTTCATTGATCAGTACAAATAAGGGGAAAATACAGTTAATCAATTTTTGTGTACTCTTATTTTGTTAGGTAAGATCTTAAGAGACTGCAAACACTAAAGGTGTTCTCAATTATTTTATAAAAAAGTAGGAAAGACACAAGTATAAATTTAGTTATAAGGACTATGTCTTTTTTTTTTTTTTTTTTAAGACAGAGTTTCAGCCTTGCTGCCCAGGCTGGAGTGCAATGCTAGAATCTCGTCTTACTGCAACCTCCACCTCCTGGGTTCAAGCGATTCAAGAAGGACCATATCATTCTTAATTTACATTAAGGTTGAGGCTGCGAGGCTGCTGTGAGCTATCATACCATCATTGCACTGCATTCTGGGCCACTAAGAGACACCTGTTTCAAAAAATAAGGAAGGATGAAGGGATGAAGGGAGGGAGAAAGGGAAGTTTGGAGAACAGGAAAGAAAAAAATGTGGAAAAAATCCATCCAACCAAAAGGTATTAACAGTCATCAAGATTGCCTTACACAGCAGTGAACATTTGTCTTATGATTTGTTAATGGAGATTCTACCAATCCTTCAGATACGACATATAGACAATGTAATTTCTAAGTTGAAAGTGGAGTTGAGACAAGAGAGTGATTAAAATGATTACCAAAAGTATATATTTGTATTTATTTTAATTTACTTACAATAATATGTGAAGATTGTATATTTGAAAATAGACATTACAACTTTTCTAAAGATGGTAGCACAAACAGTAAAACTTTCTCCACACTATGGTTTGTTAATGATCTACATATAAAATTATTACTGGGCAAATAATATGTGCCTATATATGAAAATAAAATGGAAAAGAATTGGAAAATATATGGAACTGATCAAATTTAAAAGAAATGTGAGACCACAATAATACTTAAAAGAAAAATATAGAATAATTATGTAAGTGCTTGATTAGAAAAATAAAAGGTAGATAGATACCTGTGCTTTGTAAGACTGGGGGTTTCTGAACAGTAAAATTGCTTGCTTGTTAGAAGAAAGTCTCAAAGGACTTAGGTCACTCTTTTCTGACAACTTGTTCATCATTGTTCCTTAAGCTTCTCTTGCTCAAGAAAAAGAATTCTACTGTAATTAAACAGTTTTAGAAATAAAAAAGAAAACTTCATGGACTACTTTCACTTTGCATTTAGGAAACCCTAAGATCAAAGATTATTTATTGACTAAGCTTATGAAGTTTGAAGTAAAAGAACAGAAAAATGCAAGTACAGCAGTTCCTTTTATTTGTAGGGATACCTTCCGAGATCCTCCGTGAATGCCTGAAACCTTGGATGATAATGAACCATATATATGTGGTTTTTCTTCTGTATAGGTGGGTTCCACACTGGTAGCTTCAATCAACCACTGATTAAAAATATTTGTAAAATAAAAATACAATTAAAAAAATACAGTGTAACAACTATTTACATGGAATTCACATGGCTATGGTTAGTAAACTAGAGATGATTTAAAGTATATGGGAGGATATACTGTTTAGGTTATATACAAATACTATGACATTTTATATAAGGTCCTTGAGCATATCCTTAAGAGTCCTTGACCTAATTCGCCAAGGATGCTGAGGGACAATTACACCATGTTTTTTCCAGTTGATAACTGACATAGCCACTGACTGACCAATGGGTGGGTGGGGTCAACAGCATGGATGCAGTGGACAAAGATAATGTATATTCCTATCAGGATGGAGATAGTGAGAGATTTCATTACAGTACTTAGAAGAGTATACACGTTAAAACTTATGAAATGTTTTTCTTTCCTGGGATTTTCCATTTAATATTTTTTAGCTAGGGATGACTGCAAGTAACTCAAACCTTGGAAAGAGAAAGAGAAACCTCAGATAAGGGGGAGACTACTGTAAGCCATGTAGAGTACTTAGTTTTTCTGTTTCCCCAAAACAACCCCTTTTTTCTTTATAAAAAGGGACATTTTTGTAAGTATTTAGTCTCCATGCCCTCTAACACACACCCTATGCCCATTCTCTAATTATTCAACAACTTAAGTATCATATTCTAAAATTGATCTGCCTCCTATCTTAGGTAAAATAATAAAGAAGAGATAGGGTTACAATTATCGCACTTCTTAAAATAATGCCTCAAAACAACATTTTTGAAAATAACTGTCATTAAAAAAAAGCTGTCAGCAAACTGGAGTTGGGACTGTTTGTTGCCTTGCACTTCATGCAAATATTTAGTATTTCTTACAACCATCTTTGAATAATAGCTGTTTAATTTATTGCCCCTTCCTCATATCCCTCAAACAAGTTGTCCTTTTCATACCCTGTAGCTGTTATATATTTCTAGAAGATTCCTTGAGAAAGAGGCCCTATGGATTGTTTCTTGTATTCCTAGTTGATTTCTAAGATTATCTTATTACCATGTTCATTTAACTCCTCATTTTCCCATTTTGAATCTCATTTCTTATAAAGTAAGTCGAATGTTAAGGTAATCTGTGGCACATTCATATTGGAACAAGTCATCCCACGTTGAATTTCTCTTCATTGTTTTTCTCTTTAAAACATTCTATAATGTCTCACTGAGTGAATTCTGGAAAACAGCTTTAATCAAGTTCAATGAATTAACAATGTTAAACTCAATAGTTTGGCATTTGGCATTATCCACAAGGTGGATGACCTGAGTATCTCTGTGTTTACCTTCCATTATTTTTCTGTTTGTCTATTCACTCTCCTACCAGGAGTGCTTGCATTGTTTTTTCTAGGAGTTTGGTTGTAATCGAGCTACTACAGACTGACTACTATAGGTCCAAAATTCCTGAGTTGAACCCCTGACCACCAATGTGTTGGTATTTGGAGATGGAACTTTTGCAAAGTTATGTAGTTTGGATTTATGTCCCCACCAAATAAATGTCTTGTTGAATTTTAATCCCCAAATTTGGATATGGGGCCTAGTGGGAGGGAAGTGAATTGGATCATGGGGGCAGATATCTCATGGATGGCTTAGCACCATCCCCTTGGTTCTATCTTTACAATTGTGAGTAAGTTCTTATGAGATCTGGTTGTTTAAAAGCATGTAGCACCTTCCTCCTCTTTCTCTTGCTCCTGTTTTTGCAATGTGAAGTGCCTGCTCCTCCTTTGCCTTCCAACATGACTAAAATTTTCCTGAGACCTCCCTTAAACAGATGCTAGCACTGTGTTTCCTGTACAGCTTGTGGAACTATGAGCCAATTTAACGTCTTTTCTTATAAATTACCCAGTCTCTGATACGATTTTTTATAGCAATGCAAGAATGGACTAATTAGTAAGAAATTAGTATTGGTACTAATTAGTAAGAAATTAGAAAATTGGTACCAAGGAGTGAGACATTGCTATAAAGATACTTAAAAATATGGAAGCAGATTTGGAACTGGGTAACAGGCAGAGGGTGGAAAATTTTGGAGGTCTCAGAAGAAGACAGGAAGATGAGGGAAACTTTGGGACGTCTTGGAGACTGATTTAAATGGTTGTGACTAAAATTCTGATAGTGATAGGGACAATGAATCCAGCTGAGAAGGTCTCAGATGGAAATGAGGATCTTACTGGAAACTGAAGCAAATGTCACGTGTGTTTGCCTTAGCAAAGAACCTACTTGCATTGTGCCCTTGTCCAAGGTCTCTGAGAAAGTTTGAAAGTGAGAGTGATGACCTAGTGTGTCTGGTGGAAGAAATTTATAAGGAGCAAATCATTCATGATATGGCCTAACTGCTTCTAATGACCTATACTTAGACGCAGGAGCAAGTAAATTACTTAAAGGTGGAATATATATTTAAAAGGGAAGCAGTGTTTGGAAAATATGCAGCCTGATCATGTGGCAGAGAAAGAAAAGCTTTTTCAGGAGATAAATTCAAGTGGGATGTGAAGCAACCACTTGCTGGCCAAAATTTGCATAACTAAAAAGAAAACTAGGGCTAATATTCAAGAAAATGGGGAAAAGGCCTGGAAGGTATTTCAGAGACCTTCCTAGCAGCCCCTCCCATCATGGGCCCAGAAGCCTAGGAGGCAAGAATGGTTTCCTTCCTCCTACAAAAAATGGCCTCACTGCCCTGTGCAACCTCAAGACACTACTCTGTACATTGCGGCTGCTGCAGCTCCAGCTTGACCCAGAGGACCCCAAGTACAGCTCAGGCTGCCACTTCAGAGGGTGGAAGCCATAAAACTTGGTGGTTTCCATGGGTGTTAGGCCGGCAGGCACACAGAATGCAACAGTGAAGGAGGCGTGGCAGCCTCTACGTGGATTTCAGAGTATGTGTAAGCAGGGGCAGAACTCTCATGGGGGACCTCTGCTAGGGCGGTGTGGTGGGGAAATGTGGAGCTGGAGCCCCCACAGAG